GCACTCCACCCTCCTCGGCACTCCTCGGCACTCATCGAGCCCTGTGACGGTGTGCGATCTCTGGCCCCATGGAAGTTTTCTCGCCCTGGATTGTCCTGAGATGCGTGCACTGCCTCGCACTCTGGATGCCCAGAGAACCGATAGCGTCGGAGACAACAGGTATGAGTTCTGTAATCTTCTTCCACACCTGCACTCGGGCCAGCCCGGCCCCTTTCCCACAGAACTGGCACGGGCACCCAGGTTTACCCGTTTTGAAGTACATTTGGAGACCCATTCTCGTGAATGCGTCGACAACGATGCGAACTACATTTGCTGAAATATCCATTAGTTTGAACACCCCACCGATTATTACGAAGGCTCCGTCGTCGAATAAACTGATATGTATGGTCGGCGCTGCTTTGGTGGAGTCATTACGCAAACGTTGATGTACTTTGGCGTCCGAGGCCGTCGGCACTTCCAGTGGGTATCCCTTAGCTTTGAGAATCGCAACTGCAGTAGACACGCACACTTTCATCACATGGTTGTAGACCACATCGCCTAGCTACTGTCCTGGAACCGATCCTAGCTTAGGGCATGCTGTGGCCGTTGCATCTGCATGGTAGAACCACGCACCGTGATATGATGTAGCCGTGAGCGCGCGTACATGTCTAGATACCCCAGCACGTTTGCTCCATCGCCGTGTCCTGTTGTGTAAGCTTGTGCATGATACTGTGCATGCCGTTGGGCGGTAACCCTGCCGCTTTCAATTTGATGGATCGTTCATCGGCTGTGAGAAAGATGCCATCACGAGTTTGCGAATTGCCGTCGGACAGCGTCTACCATGAGGGAAAGAACATGGTGTTTCTGTGCCGCTGCAGTTGTCTGGAGGTTGCCCAGTGCTTGGCTGGCAGGGTCCACTCCTCGCCCAGCGATCCTGCCGTATTGCGTGTCCCCTGCGCAGCGTGGCAATGCAATCAAACGTGGAGTACGTAGTAGAATTCGTTACCTTTTTTCCCCATATGTGGTGACACCATTGCCGACCTCGAGTGCTTGGGGTACGATGGATCAGCGGAACCCTTTCATTTATCCCAGTAGCAACCTCCTTGTCATTGAATCGGTTTCTCTAGGCTGAGACATGCTTTGACAACAACGGGGAAATGCAGCTCTCCAAGTTGGGCCCCAAACTGCTTCACAGGTCCCCATGAAATCCCGTCTGGACTCGCAGCTGAAGGCTTGGCTGGTATCTAGACGAGGTGGACACGGACGCTTCCTCCCGATGTGTATCGGCAGGCAGAGGGCGAAATTCATCACGCAAATACTGTGCGTTTTTTTTTGTTTTGTTGTTTTTTTCTGAAGCAGTGGCGCCCATCTACTCCTTGTCAAAGCGCTCTAGCCAAATACTGGCTGCTTGTTGTAGGGGGCCACATGCGAACCCTATCCCCTCAGAAATCGTGGGGGGTAGGGGTATGGTTCGCATGTGCCCCCCTATGTTGCGTGCGTGGCCAATGCCGACTTGTTGAAAGGATCTCGAACGGTGCGGGATGGACGTGTTTTTTTTTCCGCGAGCACGCTCCCATTCCCTTCAACCGCTTAAATTCTTGACCGAATGGTGCCGTGACCGTTCTGACGCAATTTGGCATGCAATTGTTGATAGTGTGCCTGAGGGTCACGTTTCCTAGACCAGGGCTGGACCCAAACGGTGTTTTTGGCGATCTCGTGGGCCGTTTTCGTTTCGACTTCGTTTTGCGGTGAAGGCGCATTCGAGACAAACGCGATGGACAACAACAACAAAACGAAAACGAACAACAGTGTTTAGGTCAAGCCCTGCCGTAGACATCTTCACATGGTACTAGCATGTAGTGTGTACCAATCGTAGCTCTCTGATTGTGTGGGTCGCACGCATCACTTTGCCATACCTGCCTAGCACAACATGCGGCAGTTGAGTGCGCGTCGAGTCCACTGAGAGAACTTGTGAGGCCTTGTCGTACACGACCAGTGTGGGGGCCAGGGCGGACTACATGAGACGTCAATTGATGGCCCCCTTGGTGTCCGATTGGGAGCCCTGTCGTAGTAGCTCCTGATTTTCTGCGCATGCAAGCCACTGTTGCAAGTGGGTCACGCCATTTCGTAGTCTGCACAGACTCTGGCAAGCCGACCTCGCATGCACGGGCTGAGAGAGCGGCGGGGACACTTGCTGATCTGCTCCATCGTACTTTCGCTGGTCTACTGCCAGCGCCCCAGCAAAGCCACATACTGCAAGTGGTGCTGCTCCTGCCCTGTGATGTGTGTGTGCGTGTGTGTGTGTGTGTGCTGTGCATGTCGGAGCGCGTGTGCTCTGGCGTTTTTTTGACGGCAAGCGAGCGGTCTGAGATCCAACTCTGCCTCTGCGTGCGGCCATGTGCTCCTCTCAGCTTGACGGATTGCTGCACAGCTGGCTTGGGCTCCCCAAACCACGACTTCAGCCTCTGAGCGGCCAGCCCATGCTGTCCTGGCGCTTCGGCGCCCACCCGATGCACCTACACGGGCACCTTCAGCGCGGGACTCTGCGTTTGACTCTGTCTGTCTCTTTGTCTGTCTGCCTTTGTCTAACTCTGTCTGTCTGTCTAACTCTGTCTGTCTTTGTCTGACGTGTTGGTAGAACAGCTGAACGTGGTCCTTGGTGGACGCTTCAAACTCTACTGGCGGGCAACTCGCCATCCTGGCGCAGCAATCCGCTTGTGCTGCTGGAGCTGCGAGCATTGCGGGGTCGTGTGGTATCGTGTACCCTCTTGAAGGCGGAACAGGCGAATTGTGACCGATGAAATGAATGTGAGCTCCTACCGCACGGTGGTCCTGCTGTGTAACCGTGAGGTCGATGGCCTCGTCAACCCCCTGTGATGTTACCCAAGCCGTGTCCGACCCATATACACGCACTTATACACACGCACACAGTCGATACGCCTCCTTCAGTCGCTGAACCCTGGGACATCAAGTACCCGACTCACCGGAAGACGATGTCAAGAACGTCGATGGAGCCCACTGTCCGGTCTCCTGCAACAGTCGTGAAAGCTCTCGCCCGCCTCATTTTGCGGCTTTGGGGCAATTCCGCCACCGCATTCGATGTGACTACGCCTACGCGTGCGTTGGCTTGCAAGCACGACAAAAAGACCTCAGCATCATGTCAAAGCGTACGCACGTGTTGCGTAGTAGTACCACCGCGTACACAATCACGTGTGCGCGCGTGTACGGTTTTCCCTTGGTGAACGTGCTAACAAGATGTTGCATGGAATATGTGGCGCGCATTTTGCAACGACAAGTCGTGTAGGTTCTTGCTGTAGTACTCTACACATGGGCGGATGGTATGCAATATGTGGCGCGCGTATTGCAACGACAAGTCGTGTAGGTTCCTGATGTAGTACTCTGCACATGGGCGGATGTTACCTGAAACCGTCAGCATACTCCACCTGTATGTTGATCCAAAGTGCGCCTCCCTCCTGGCCTTGAGGCGTGGCAGCTGTCATGAAAATGTGGTAGCGGTCCACCTTAGCGTCTTGGAAATTGGCAGGCGTGTCTGGGTCGTGCCAACCACCAGAGCCACGCCGTACAAGCTTAGCTCCAGGCTGCTTGACCCTGGACTTGACCCTTCCCTTTGGAGGATGTTGGTAGTTGTAAGGGGAGGAGGGAGGGAGGAGGGAGGGAGGGAGGAGGGAGGGAGGAGGGAGGAGGGGGAGGAGAGAGGGAGAGGGAGCAATGAGGGTGAGGTGGAGGAGGAGGAGGAGGTGGAGGAGGAGGAGGAGGAGGAGGAGGAGGAGGAGGAAGAGGAGGAGGAGTAGGTGGAGGACCGGGCCCCCGTCGCCATTTCAGGGGCGATATCTTTCCGCTGTGCGAGCCCGCCTCTGCAGGCCCTCCCCCGTGCGCAGACCATATGGGAGACGGCGCCGATGCCCCGGCGAGCGAGGAGATCCAGATGCCGACCGGTGGCCTCGCAGACCTCATCTCGAAGAAGAAAGATCGGCACACGCATGAATTCTGATGGGCCTGTTTTCCACCACCACCACCACCATAAGTTGGAGGGGGGAGGAGGTGGAGGACGAGGAGGAGGAGGAGGACGAAGAGGAGGAGGAGGAGGAGGGGGAGGAGGAGGCGGAGGAGGAGGAGGACCCCCTCCCCCTCCAACTTATGGTAGTGGTGGTGGAAAACAGGCCCATCAGAATTCGGACGCAACTCCTGGGAGGTCAAACTCTGATTTTGTCCCGGTCCAACTCTGGCTCAATCCCGCTCAATTCTCGGCTCCGTTCCGCTCAATATCCGGCTCAGTCCCGCCCGACTCGGCTTCATCCCGCTGAGTCCGGGGCCCAGTCGGGCGTGACAGCCCTGCACTGGGGCCTAATCCTCCTCAATCCCTCCGACGAAGACCTCCCAGTAGCTGCCTCCTAGCATGAACTGTCGGAGCTCCCCGCGGAGTTGTCGGGCCGGCGCCGGGCTCTCCCCGTGCTGGCGCGCGGCGGCGCCGCCACAGTGGGGCCCCCAGCGCCGACGCAAGAAGCCCGCGCGGAGTTCTGAAGTTTGTCAGCCACGCGCAGAGGGGGGTGGGTCTCCCATCCCTTCGCGATCCGACCCTCCTCCCCCTCCTCCTCCTCCTCCTCCTCCTCCTCCTCCTCCTCCTCCTCCTCCTCCTCCCCCTCCTCCTCCTCCTCCTCCTCCTCCTCCTCCTCCTCCTCCTCCTCCTCGTTCTCCTCCTCCGATCCCTGTTCCTGAGGGGGGTGGGGGGAGGGGGGAGGGCCTCTTAGAAGCACCCCTGCTTCTTAGAAGGCGCGGGCCTTCTCGATAGACGTAAGGCCGGCGCCTTTCAGACGCAGCCTCCTTCTAAGAAGCCCCCCCCCCCGTCCCTCCATCCCCTTGTGCGCGCCGCCAAGTGTGCGTTCGGAGTCGTGGCTGTGACGCACGGGCCAGCTTGGGCTCGCGAGGGGCTTCGGGTTGTTGGGCCGTTCCCTAGAGCTAGGTCGGGGAACCTGTCCGCGGATGAGGCCCGTCGTGGCCAGAAATGGCCCCTTCGTTCCTTCTTTGGCGTTCCCACTGGTAGTGCCATGACGGTATGCCGATGTGTTTCTTCCTCGACCATCGCGTGCCTGGACGGCCTGCCGACCAAGGAGGTGGGCGACCCGAAGGGCCTCAAGAGCAAGGCGTGCGCCGTGTGCCTCGACAACTTCGCGCGCGGCGACTCGGTGAAGATACTGCCGTGCGGCGACGTCTTCCACAGCCCGGCGGGCCTGAAGCTCGAGCCCCGCGCCCCATACCCGCCTCCGGTCGGGTGTTATTTGGATAGACAGTATCAACAACAGTTGCGACAAAGTTTTTGTCCATATCCACTGCGTATTGGACTCTTTCTGGGTAGGGGCGCCAGAAGGCCGAAGCGCAGTGGATATGGATCGAAAGCTTGCCCCATGGGTCTTATCCATGTCCACTGCGCCTGCGGTCTCGGGGGAGCCCGAAACTCCAGGACGCAGCAGGGCTCGAGCTCAACGGTGTTTCGGCGACTTCGTGGACCGTTCTCGCTCCGATTTTGGCTCGCAGCGAATGCGTGACGAAGACAGAGTAAAGGAAAACGACCACAACACGACAACGAAAAACACTACTTTTGCTCCAGCCCTGGGACGCAGTGGCCAGGAGGGCGGGAGGAGGAGCAGGAGGAGGAGGAGGAGGAGGAGGAGGAGGAGGAGGAGGAGGAGGAGGACGACGAGGAGAAGGAGGAGGAGGAGGAGGAGGAGGAGGAGGAGGAGGAGGAGGGGGAGGAGGGAGGAAGAGGAGGAGGAGGAGGAGGAGGAGGAGGAGGAGGCGTTGCCAGGAGTGCCCCCGCGGCCCCGGGGGTGCCCCCAGGACTCCAAAGGAGGCCCCCACGGCTTCCAGGGCCCCCCCCCCCACGAGGCCCGGCGGGCCCCAGGGTCTCCAGAGTGGAGCGGTGAGCTGAGGGTCACCACCCACCAAACCACCCCAACCCAACCCGAAGGCTCAGATTTACCCTCGATTTCTAGTGGGGGGGGGTCCGGGAACATCGAAAAAACACATATGGAGCCCATACCCCCCCCAACCCGAAATTCGGGTCTTCGGGTTGGGTTGGGGTGGTTTGGTAGGTAGTCAGAGGGCCCCGGCCAGGGGCACCTTTTCACTGGGCGGGGCGGCGCTCCGCGCGGACCTCCGCCAGGCTGTTTCTCTGCTGCTGCTCCCGCTCGCGCTCCCGATCCAGCCGCCCCGCCCGTGCTGCTCCTGCTGCTGCTCCTGCCCCGGCCGCTCCGGCCAGGGTTGACAATGGCCAGAGGGCGACGGCAATCTCCGGGATGCGCCCTCGGAAGCGGAGGGAATGCTGCAGATCGGCATCGCGTCACCGGGCCCCAACGATGGCTGAGTGGCGCTCAGATTCGGGTGCGGCCCGAGTCAGGAGGGAAAGAAACACACAGACACAATTAATCGGCGATTCCCAGAAAATATGGGAAAACATGGGAAGTGAGGGGGAAGACAAAAACCCTGAAAACATGGGAAAATATAGGGAATGTTTTTATTTGCGTGTATTTATTTGTGTGTCCTGGGGCCCCTTCACCGAGAGCAAGCAGGAAGCGCCGCGCGTGCGCCCGTGAGCGGCCCCGTCTGTTACCTCGATCGAGTTGATCTTCCAACAACGCCGGACGATCAGAGCACGCCAGCGCAGTTTCTAAAACGACGCGAAGATCTGGACAAAATCGGATCGGGATAACTCGAAATCTCTGAGAATCGGCGGGTTTGGAGGATGTATTGGGCGCCGCGGCCGCTCCAGAGCGTTCCGGAACGCTCTGAGAGCGCTCCGGAACGCTTTGGAGCGATTCTACAGGCTTACGCCACTTTCGCCGACCCCTTCTGTGACTGTTGCGAGGCCAGGAGTTTCTGGCCAGCGGCGTCTTGTGTGAGGGTGCGGTGTCGCGCGCGGGTGGTGGCAGATACGTAGGGGGTCCACATGTTTGCGTGATGCCGGTGGTCTGGGGCGTGTTTTGCGAGCGCTTTGCGTGCTGTGCACCCGGGTGCGGGGTGTCCTTCTGGGAGGTCGGCCTCTCGCCCCTCAACCAAGTGGAGGAGCACCGGAAGACGAAAGGAGCAAGAGTAGCGTGCGGAAGCTGTGATCAGCGAAGCATCACCGCGAAAGATGTGGCAGATGAGTCGAAACGGGTGAAGAGGCTGTTGACGTTCGCAGCGCGCACGAAACAGTTCGCGTAGCAGCAGCACGTCGCGTAGCACAGCGCCGAGCAAGATTGTGAGCACGTCGCGAGGAAGAGCAAGGCTGCATGCGCGGAGTGCATTGCAGTTGGCTTGACGGCTCGCAATGCGGAAGCGTCTGGTGGTCTTTTGGAGGCCTCCTGGGGGCCTCTTGGGGGCTCCTTGGGGCGTCTTGGCGGCCTCTTGGGGGCCTCTGGCGGCCTCTTGGGGCACTCTTGGGGCCCCCTGGGGCTCGTGGGGGCGGGAAGCTAGATTTTTGAATTTTTGGTTGCCCTCTTGGGCCCCTCTTGGTGCCGTCTTGTCGGAAATGCGCGGAAGAACGTCAGAGGACGACGCTTGAGTCCAATAATAGGAAACGGAGAGCCGAGGCGGAAGCGAAGCCGCTGACGTGCGCGGCGTGCGGAGGAGCGTTCTCAGACACGAAACATTTGAGGCAGAGCCAAAAAGAACATCATCGATGGTCGAATCAAAAAAAGGTGGTGTGCGGAAGCTGCGCGGCACTCGGGTTCACAGCCCGCAGTTGCCAGGCGTATCAGTGCAGCGGCGCGTGCAAGAGAAGACTACCGAAGTCGGCGTTCCCCGACCCTCACAATGTCCCGCGCGACGCAAAAAAAGGCACTCTGAAGTGCAAGACCTGCAAATGATGCCGAATCGGGCGCGCGCGCTGAGGAAAAAGGAGAACGAGGACAGGAGAATGGGGGGTGAGGCGGAGGACACAGGGGAGAATCATCGAACGTGTCGAGGTGACGGGCCATGAACAAGAGGAGGGGGACGAGGAGGAGGGGGACGAGGAGAGGGTGGTTGAGGAGGAGGATGAGGGGGACACTGAGAGGAGGCTCTGGGTTATGGTCTTTGGGTGAGAGGTTCTTGTATGTGTATCGGAATTTCGCGGCACTCCTTTCGGGGGCCTCTGGAAAGCAGTTTTGACGCCACTGGGGGGCCGACGTGGACAAGGCGGGTGAGGGGGAGGAGGAGGGGGACGCGGAGGAAATGTTCTGGGTCATGGTTTTGGAATTCTTCGCCTCGGGAGCGCGAATCCCGCTTGTGCGATGATCGCTGGGATCTCTGGTGGTGCTTCTCGCGGGACTCTTGGAGGCAGTTTCGAAGCCTCTTGGGGGCCGTTTTGGGGCCGTTCTGGGGCCTCTTGGGGGGCCTCTTGGGGCCTCTTGGGGGCGTTTGGGGGCCTCTTGGGGCCTCTCGGGGCCTTTTAGGGCCGTCTCGGGGCGGAAGGCTCGGGATGTCAGTTCGGGCTCCCTCTCTTGGGCCCCTCTTGGGGCCGTCTTGGGGCTCTCTTGGGCCGTCCTGGGGGCCTCTTGGGCTGTCTTGGCGCCCTCTTGGGCGGACTTGGGCGCGTGTTGGGGGCCTCTTGGGCCGTCTTGGGGCGGTCTTGGGGTGCTCTTGGACCGTGTTCAACGCCGTGAAGGCCGAGAAGCCGTATATGATCAAAATGTACGTTTTCCATAGGAATTTGAAGATTTTCGGCTCTTCGGCCCTTCTGAGAACTGCTCTTGGAGGCCTCATGGGCCGTCTTGGAGGCCTCTTGGCCCGTCTTGGGGCCATCTTGGGCGCCTTGGAGCGTTCGTTTGGCGTCTCGGGGCCCTCGTGGGCCGTCTTGGAGGAGTCTTGGGGCCTTCTTGGGCCGCCTTGAGAGACTTTTGAGCCCCAAGAAGCTCCGTGAGTCGCTCGGGCGGGGCCATGGGGGGGGGGTCAAATCGCCAGTTTGGGGTCCCTGGGGGGGGACTGTAGGGGGGGGAACTATCTCACACGCCTAGGGACCCACAAGGGGTCGGCGGATTTATCCCGATCCTAGCCCTGTTTTAGTTTCTCTGTCAGCACCTGGCCAACATGTCGTTCTCTGCGGGACTCTTTCGAACCCACCCAGGCGAGGGAAAAACATGTTTTTGATATGAGGGGGTCGGGTTCCTTTCCGCCCCCCGCCCCGAGGGACTCCCGGGGAAAGGTCGATCCCAGCGGCCAGCGCGTGTCGCGGAAAACATTCACATTTTTTCAGCACCCACCTTCCCTCCGCGGAGCCGAAAAATTGCGGAACGCGTTTTTGACAGTGTCTGCGGCATTATTTTGGACCCTCTCTCCGCGGGCCAACAAAATTGCGGAGAGCGGTTTGCGTTGAGCATTTGATTTCCGCGCGCACCCACCCGCCCACCGCCCTTCCCTCCCCATGGGGCATCCGTCAGTTTCGTCGATGGGTCGTCGTCGTCGTCGCCGCCGCCGCCGCTGTCGTCGTCGTCGTCGTCGTCCGTCGTCCGTCGTCCGTCGTCGTCGTCGTCGTCGTCGTCGTCGTCGTCGTCGTCGTCGTCGTCGTCGTCGTCGTCGTCGTCGTCGTTCGTCGTCGTCGTCGTCGTCGTCGTCGTCGCTGGACATTTCGTTGCGCCCTCCCCCTCCACAGGGAATCCGCGGGCACCACGCTGGTGACCCACGCGCTTGTGGGTCACCTGCGCGGTGCCTGCTTCGTGCGGGAACTCTGGCGATCATGCATCGGGGAACCTGTACTGGCTTTTAACGGCGACTCACCCTGGGGACCGCCGCCAACTTCGGGAACGCCGTTCGCCTTGCACACACACACACACACCTGCAGCTTTCTTTCGCCCACCTCCTGGGGGCCGCCGTCGCCAGCTTTCGGGGAGCCCGTTCCCTCTGCATCCACTTGAGTTTTCTGTTGCACCAACCCCGAGCCAACGCGGTGTGGGGACGTGCATGTTCGGGTTGTACTACAGATTGCCCTTCCTGGGCAGCGGAGCTGGGGGAGGGTTCCAACATGTGTCCTGATGGGGTTATGAGTATAATTCGACCCGTCCTTGGTAGCTCAGATTTGCTGGGAATGAGGGTGTCACTGCACGCCGACCCCCTTATTCTTGAATCGTTCTTGCTCGATGTCATGCCCAACCCTCCTGCGTTGGGTTCTTGTTTTGACTAGAGCACTGCGGTGCGATCTTCTTCTGTCATTCCTTCCTGCCTCCTCCTTTTCCCCTCCTACCTGCCTGCTATTCTGCCTGCTACCTCGCCGTCCTGCCTGGAGATTCCCTCGGAGGCTGCGGTTGGCGAAACTGTCGCCACTTTCGAGGGCTGCTGGGGGTCCAGCATAGCAAAGTGACGTCCTATGCAGATTCAGATCAGTCCTCACAATCCCTGGGAGGCTGCGATGTGCGAAGCTGTCGCCACTTTCGATATCTGGGGTGGGGCGGGCCCAGCATAGTAACGTCCCACGCAGGTTCTGATTCGACCTCACCATCCCTTGGGGGCTGCGAACCGCGAAACTGTCGCCACTTCTGAGGGCCTGTGGGGGGTCCAGCACAGCGACGTGCTAGGCAGATTCAGATTCGATCTCACCATCCCGGGGGGCTGCGATGTGCGAAGTTGTTGCCACTTTTGAGGGCTGCTGGGGGGTGCAGCATAGCGACGTCCTACGCAGATCCAGATTCGACCTCACCATCCCTGGGGGGACTGTGAACTGGGAAACTGTCAACAGTTTCCAGGGCTGCTGGGGGGGCCCAGCACTGACGGCCTACGCAGATCTAGATTAGACCTCACCATCCCCAGGGGGGGCTGCAATCTGCGAAGCTGTCGCAACTTTCGAGGGCTGCTGAGGGTTCTGCATAGTGACGCCTTGCGCAGACTCAGATCAGACCTGACCCTCCCTTGGGGGCTGCCAGCTGCGAAACTGTCGCCACCGTCGGTGGCTGCTGCGGGCTCCAGCAAACTAACCCGCCGCAGATCCAGATTAGACCTCACCATCCCCGGGGGGGGGGTCTGCGAACTGCGAAACCGTCGCCACTTTTGAGGGCTGCTGGGGGTCCAGCGTGGTGACGTGCTGCGCAGATCCAGATCAGACCTGGCCACCCTTGGGGGGGCTGCGAGCTGCGAAACGTTCGCCGGCTTCGAGGGCCCTGATGTACGTCCCCGCGGGCTGCCTGGAGACCTGGCGGCGCACCTGCGGGCGCTTCGTGCCCACACCGAGAGGTGCAGGACGGAGGCGGGGAACCTCGCGGGAGAGCCCGGCCTCGCTCACTGTTCGCACCAGCTGTGGGCAGCCGATTTTTTTGGAGCGCCAAGGCGACACGGCGCGCGCCGCGATGCTTGCCCAGTGAGCCACGACATCGCAGGAATGTTGCGTCTCCCCTGCTTTCCTCCTCCTCCTCCTCCTCCTCCTCCTCCTCCTCCTCCTCCTCCTCCTCCTCCTCCCCCTCCTCTTCCTCCACCTCCACCTCCTCCTTCCTCTCTCCTTGCCTCCCATGCCGTCTTCCGAAAAATGTTGCGGGCGCGCCCTCGTCATTTTTGCTGCAGGATGCTGCGCACGGAGAGTGGCGACGAGCGTGGGGCGTCCTACCCCTGTGGAGGGATGTGCAGACTGTTTCCCGTTCAGAGTTGCTGGCCTCGTTTTGTGACGGGCCGCGAGCCGCTAGTCAGAGCGTGGTCGAGGCACCGATTCCGCGAAAAGAACGGTGCGAAACAGGACATTCGGTCTAGGATTCGCGGGTGTTTACCAAGAGGTCCACGGATGTTGTCCTGACATGGGTCCCCTTAAGATATGGACGAAACTCCGCACAGTGGCATGGACCTCTTAGACGTCTTTGAAAGTCCACGGCAACGGTCTGGCTGATGAGGAGGCGGGGCTGGTGGCGGGTAGGGGGTGGGCGGCTTCGGTGGGCACAGGAGAACCTAGCACGGACCATTGGGATACCGTTTGCACCCTTGTTCGAACCCGAGCCAGAAAAGCCCTAGCTCTGACAGCCGAGGCCGACCCATCGAGTGGGGAGCGGGCCCAAGCTGTCAGATGAGTGCCTCAGTCCAGACTCAGAGCCACAATATCCACGTCGAGCCACCGCTGGAGCAGAGCGGGGGGCAAGTGGCAGTGTGACCATTGCAAAGTTGTAGTGCCAGCGTCCCAAATCATCCGCGCCGCCTGCGCGACCTGCCGTGGTTTCCCACCTTCAGCCGGCAAGGGGGGGACTGTGGGAGCAAGGTGCGGGAGTGCATTTGCGGCATGCAGAGACGTGCACCCATCGCGCACTGCTCAGAAATGGAAGGAATACCTCATGATATTCTGCGCCACTAGCTGGAAGTACGCAGAAGTGGATTGCAGGCCTTTGGCATCGTAGTGCACGGGGCCCGCTCGTAAGGGCAATATTGGTTTGAGTCGCATCGAGGCTGGCAAGTACCTTCGCAGATACAGGGCCCCCAAGGACCTTAAGAATGCCCTCGTTCAGTGAGACGCACGCTTCCAGACGAGTGGCAGCCGGTCCCATCCCCCCCGTCGGGGGGGACGGATGACCGGCTGTTGTGGTGCGGTGATGGCTAAGCAGCGGTCCTGCCAGGGTTTAGGCTCCATCGTGCGGGGGTCGCCTTCGGCCTCCCCCGCGCGACTCTCTTGCGTTTGGCTAAAAGGACCAGCTGTCTTTCGTTGTCGTGCTCTTCCTCCTCCTGCCGTCTCGGTTCTGCTGTCGCGTTGACTTCTCGTGCCTTTCGTTCCCGCCCCCATTGCTCAGGAGGGAAAGAAACACACAGACACAATTAATCGTCGAATCCCCAGAAAATATGGGAAAATATGGGAAGTGGGGGGGAAGACAAAACCCTAGAAAATATGGGAAAATATGGGGAATCTTTTTATTTGTGTGCATTTATTTGTGTGTCCCAGGGCCCCTTCATTCGAGCCTGAGGCCTCCGTCCTCGCCCTTCTCTTGCTGTCCTGCGGGCCGTGCAGCGCGCGCGCGTGCGCCTCCCATAGACCTGTCGCAGCCAAGGAGGAGGAGGAGGAGGAGGAGGAGGAGGAGGAGGAGGAGGAGGAGGCATCTATGATATTCTGGACCCGCCCCTCTTGTCAGTTAGGGCACACGGGTTGGGTCCGTCGCAGGGTGCTTCCTCGCTTGGTGCCAGTGCGGGCGGCCCCTCTTCGCGCGCGGGGCGCGACACTCCAGCCCGGCCGGCCGGCGCCTGCATGGAGCAGTGGGGCCAGGCCAGCGGTCTCTGCAAGACGTGCGGGAAGCCGTGGCGGCCGGGGTGAGCGCCCGTGCTTCGGGTCACTAGCCCAAAACATACCCGGACCCGGGGTCAGCTGGGGTGAAAAGGGCCGCCCGCTAGAGCGTTTTCGGCCTTGCCGCCACCTCGTCTGGGTACGGGTCGGTGCCCGAAACAACCATACATACCCGGACCTAGCTGGGGTGGTGGTTGGGTCACCCCGTCTAGGTACGGGTATGTATGGTGGTTTCGGGAGCCGACCCGGACCCAGGGGGGGTGATGCCCCGAGGGCCCCTTGCCACCCCGTCTGGGTAAGGGTACGGGTATCTTTCGCGCTCGAGATCGGGGGGGGGGAAGGCGGAGGGGGTCAGGGGAGGAATACCGACCGATGTTGCTGCGGTTTGTTTCGTTGGTGCTTTTTGGACCCGATCGCCACGGCTGGATTCGCCTCGAAATTCTGGTCAGAGAGCATCCTGGGAAAAGTGAGTAGCGGGAGCCAGGATCATATTGTATTCCGCGTGCGACATGAGGGGACGGGAGGGGAGGGAGGGTGGGAAGGATTGGTAAGGTTTCGTGATGCGAACAGAACCTTTCCAGGTTCTCGGGGCTGGCCTCAAAGGCCCCCCCCCCAGTAACCCTTGGAGGTCTCAACACCCTCCGCGCCCCACGGTTGGGATGTTCAGACCGCCCTGGGCTATTCGGTGGGGCCTTTTGAGGCCAGTCGCGAGTAGCTGGGGGGTGTGAGGGAGGGGTCCAAGAAGCGCAAACCTAGATTCAAGGCGAGTGGATTCGCGACGGGTCGCATACTTTTCGTAAGCGGCGAGGCGACGAACTCCGCACCAACGTAGCAGCCAGGTAGGGGCACTAAGTAGCGAATGGGCTGGCGTGCAAGGAGGGATGGGGGAGGCCGGCGAAGAAGGAGGGACGCTCGGACGCCGGAGAATTCGACGATGAACAGCCGGCGGGCGGCAGCAGCCAGGCGCGCCGGGCCAGAGCGACGGGTCGCACACTCATGCTGCATCGAGACGCTCCGTCGCCAAATCGGGCGGCGCTGGCTTCAGATTCCGCATGCTATTTTTCTCGGTCCGCGAATCTGGTGCCTTCGCGCTAGATCCACGGGGTGATCACCCATACCTATACGACCACCCTTCGGGTGACAAGGAGTGTGTGTGTGTAGGGGAGGGTGAACCAACTGACGACAGCGTCGATAACTTTGATGGCGACGAGACAGCGACGATGCACGATGATGCTGCTGGTGAAAGTGGGTAGTGGCGATGATAAGGAAGGCGACACAGACGCGACCCGCGCGGGCCGCAACGCACAATCCATCTCAAGATTGATTGCATTATCGTTCCCAATCGATCCCACAATCGCTCCACCGACGGGGCACCCTCCGCCACCGACGGGGTATCGATCCCACAATATGTCTCACGATCGGTCTCACAATCGATCTCACCATTGATTTCACAACCGGTATCATTACCGATCCCGTCTTGAATATCACTATCGATATCGCTATCGCGCCAACGACGGGCATCACCGGCGGGGCACCCCGGGCCACCGCGCGCCCTGGGGCGGGGCGGTCAAACGTCTCCATGGTCCCTAGCCGCGGTGGCATCCGTCTCGTCGCGCGCCCACACAGCTTCGCCTCGCCCGCACGCACGACCCGAACACGAAACCGAAACCTATTTCCGGGTGGGCGGGCAATCTCTTCCATTGCGATCTCACCCCCCGACCTCCTATTTCAGGGCGGAAAACAACATCATCCCGTCGCGTCGCGGCAAAGGCAATCCGCCTGCGCGCTCTAGCATGGCGCACGCATTGTCCGGCGGCGCGAAGCAGGGAAGGAGGTGAAAAACGGCCGCGGAAGGAGGACGGGGGAGGAGGGCACTCACCGCACGACGAGCTTCGGCAGGAGTGGCCAGGGCGGCCGGCCATTGTTGAGGCGACGTGGCAGTGGATGCGGAGCGGCATAGCGCCCACACCCAGGAGTTGAGGCAAAGGCGGCAGGCGATGAAAGCGTAACCAAATCGAACCAATAAGAGAGTAGGGGAGCGGTGAGCAAACCCACCGAAGCGGGCGGCATCGTGGCGTTCGTCGGGGAACCGTGGGTGACACGCATTGCTGCGGTACGTCGCCGGCGGGACGCGGGAAGGCCAGCTACCACGGGGGCTGGGCCAGTGACCAGTTTGCTGCAGCAGAATGCTGTTATATTGCTGGGCTTAGCTGCTGAAGACAAAACTGCAGGGCTGCCGGCTGCAAAGCCGCCGAGGGCTGCAAAGCAGAGCTGCGTTGCAGCTGGGGGGGCGGCGGGCGCCTCTTGCGAGAGACGCCCGGGCGGCGGCAGGGCGGCCGAACGGGCCGAACCCAGCCACCGCGCGCATCACACTTGGGAGTGGCGGGGACTCCCGGCCACAAGGCTGGCGGGGCGTGGGCGCCCAGCTGCAGGATGCAGCAGGACAGGGGCGGGGAAGGGCTGCCGACACGGCCGGCGCAGGCAACGCAGCTGGGACAGCCAGGGGCGCGCAACCGCAGGGCCAGCTGGCCTCGGGCGCCGATCTGCAGGAGCAGCGTGGCACGCGACGCGGCGGAACCAGGTAAAGGCCCCCCAGCGTGCAGCAGCCAAGGGCCGCCCGGGAACGGCGACGGCGAAACGATTGGCTGACGGGAGGGAGCGGCGGGAGGATCCACCAGAGGTGGCACAGGGCCGCGCCCAGGACCATCCCGGCAGACTATGGGAAACGCCGCGCCAGCAACGAACACATCAGCTTAGCCACTGATCCACCCAACTTGTCATGTAACCCCGCAGTTGGGGGGGTGGGCGCTCCAGCCGAGACGTGCAAAACGTCAGTGGCAGCGCCCGCCTGGGGGGGCGTGCGCGCCAGCCGGGACGGGAGTGGCGAATCCACCTGGGGGGGGCGCTCCCGCGGGACAGGAGAGGGAGGGCGTGCCACCTGAGGGGGTAGCGCGCGGGAGGAGGCACCCAGCACTGCGCGCGCGATGGGACCTACTTGGAGGGGTAGGCCCGCCTGCGACTCGATGCGGGCGCCCAAGGCACTGCCAGGCCGTGCATGGAGGCCCTGCGAGCGCGCAGCATTCGAATAAGGGATCGACTGCAGAATTGATTCACCCCGGAATCCATTTGTTCGCCGAAAACGGAAAATCCGTATAAGGTTCGTAGACCTACGGACATTACATGCATGTTCTCTACATCCGACGGGAGAATCACTTTTGAGGTACACCAATTTTGTAGTCGATCCCGTATTCGAAGCATGGGAGGCAAATGCCCAAGGAGGTCAAGGCCAGTTGAGTCGCGTCTTAGGTCGCGGTCGGAATCCACCTTGGTCGCCGGCTGGTTGATAGTGCGCCCCCTTGCCGCGGGGAGGCAACCCTACGCAATCTCCGCCGCGCAGCCCAGCTGCGGGGTGGACCCCAGGGGCTGGATCCCCCGCAGATCGGACTAGTCCCCGGCTGGCCAGGAGGCGCCGCTGGCATGCTTGCCTCCCTGGCCTTTTCCCCACCTGCATGCTGTTGCCGCCCCTGTTGCTGGCGCCACGCGTCGTCCCAGTCGACGTCATGGCGCCAGTGCCGGCACAAGGCCCGCATGTTGTAGTAGGAGTCGCACAAGTCTGCCAAGAATTGCCTGAAGAACTCGTTGGAGCCGCCAGGGTTGTAGCGCCCCTTGCCCTTTGCCTCGCCGTCCCGCTCGTCGCAGGCTTGATTCCAGCCTTCCACAATCATCGCCCCGCAGGTACCCAGACATCCGACGTTGTGAGTTGCTCAAGACGGCTTCCCTTGAGGCCGGAACCTCCCCCCCGGGGCCAGCCCGGCGAGGCCACCCAGAGGCCGAAAACTGCGAGAAATCTTCGTCTCGAGGTTCTCGAGACGTTGGGGGTCTGGGTGCCCTTGGGGCGGCCTGGCCTCCAGGCGCCTCCAGCGGATGACACGCCGAGGCACGCGGTAGAGGCTGTCGTGCGGGTCGTTCCAGTCGCGCCAGTGGTGGGTCGGGTCGCTCCCCCAGCCGCGGGCGCCTGCGGCTGGGGCGCGGCGCCAGTAGGGCGAGTAGCACCAGGTGCTGTCGGGAGGGTCCGCCTCCGTTGCCCCTGCCCCAGCCGGGCCAGCCAGCAGCGCGGTAGCGAGCAGCGGGGCAGGGTGAGGTGTCGGGGGGCGCCTGGCCCGCGCCGTCTTCGTGGCCGGTCTGGCCGGTGTGGGTGTCGCTTCCCGCTGGGGCGTTGTCGCCGATTGCGCTGCTGGCAGGGCGGCCGCCGTGGATGATCCACGCGAGGTGCGTGCAGTCCGCTCCGCCCCAGACCGTGACCCAATCGCCCCCTGCTCCGGCGCAGAGTTGCTGCCCTGCGCGGACCTCGCCCACAGGCCCTGCCGCCGAGCCGGGCGGGGCGTTGGGCCAGAGACGCTCCGCAGTCTCGGCGCGTGCGGGGCGAGCGCCGCCGTCGCCCCTTGCCATTCGGCAGTGGCCTGCCCGCGCGTCGGGCGCGATGCCGCTGTGCGACTGTGAGACGCTTGGTCCCGCGGCGGGGGCGAGCCCGCGGCGGTGCTCGTCAGCCCCCCCAGCGCCCCCCCCCGCCGGCCCAGGCCGTCGCTTGCGCCCGTGACGCCCCCGCCCGCCATCTTGGTCATGGGGGCGGGGCGGGCGCGGCGGTTCCTTCCTCGCCGCCGCTCTCGCCGTCGTTCCAGCCGGGGGCTGGGCTGGGCTGCTCGACGCCCGCCTGCTCGAGCAGGGAAGGGGTGGCCTCGCCCTCGGTCCTTCCAGGAGCGGAGCCTTCGGTCTCCCCGCCGCCGAGTTCCCCCAGGCGGAGGGACGGACCTGACGCGCTGCGTCAGCCTCGCTGGGAGGGAAGCGTCTGCGCCCCTTTGGGGGCGGGAGCTCGCGGTTCCCGCTGGCGCCGCCCGCCGCCAGCTCTCGCTGCCCGCCCGCGACTGTTGCCTCGGGGGCGCCTGTCGCTTCCCCGCCCGTGGTCGGGCGTCGGCAATGGTGGGCGAGCAGGGGGGCGCCCGGGGCGCGAGTGCCTTGGCCCGCCAGCAGGGGCGCACCTGGACGTGCCCGTCGCGCCTGGACGGGCCGGCGCCGCGTCGGGCCGTTCTCGGTGCCCGGGGCCGTGCTCTCCCACGCCTCCCTCCGGCCGTCGGCCCTGCGCCCTCGTTTTCGTTCCTGCCCTTCTCAGGAGGGAAAGAAACACACAGACACAATTCATCGGCGATCCCCAGAAAGTATGGGAAAATATGGGAAGTGGGGGGGAAGACAAGAACCCAGAAAATATGGGAAAAATATGGGGGGTACTTTTATTTGTGCGTATTTATTGGTGTGTCCCAGTTCCCCTTCACCTTCGGTCTGCATGCGCCGGGCGGCGACGTGAGCCTGGGCGGCCCGCCTGCCATGCCAAGGGGGCAGCGTCGGGCACCCCGGCGTCTGGGGTGGCGCTGCCGTATTTGCCTTCGTCGGGAAGGCGGCGCACGTGCCGCGGTCCCCACACCGGGTGTCTCCTCCTGTTCCTCCTCCTCCTCCTCCTCCTCCTCCTCCTCCTCCTCCTCTCCTCCTCCTCCTGATCCTCCTCCTCCTCTCCTCCTCCTCCTCCTCGGCCCTGGCACTGTCCTCGCGACACGTGAAAGCGAAACTATTTTTTTTTTTTCCGAGCGGTTCGCTTTCGATTTCGCTTTCTTAACTGTTAACTTTTTCGGGGGAGCTTCGCTTTCGGGCCCGAAGCTCGCCGTCTTCTGAGTTTCGCTTTCACGTGTCGCGAGGACAGTATTTGCCTTCGTCGGGAAGGCGGCGCACGTGCCGCGGTCCCCACACCGGGTGTCGGTTACCTTTGCCTCCGTGCCCGGTGCCCTTGCGGCGCTGCTCTTGCTCCTGGGCGAAAAATCCTGCCGCGCCTCCTCGATGCCTGGGTGTCGCCGCCTGGCGTGGTCCGCCATTGCGTGGGCAATTGTCTTGTCTTGGCGGCCACGTCTGCTCGCGGCCCGCCGGGTTCGCCGAGAGCGGCTTGCCCGGGCTGGGCATCAGGCGGACAGGGGGGGGGGTCCAGGTCTGGCAGTACTGTCCTCGCGACACGTGAAAGCGAAACTCAGAAGACGGCGAACTTCGGGCCCGAAAGCGAAGCTCCCCCGAAAAAGTTAATAGTTAAGAAAGCGAAATCGAAAGCGAACCGCTCGGAAAAAAGTTAATAGTTTCGTTTTCACGTGTCGCGAGGACAGTGCCAGGGCCGAATTTGACGGTGGCAAGGCTGGGTCCACGCGCGGCTTGTCCCGGAGAGACGGTGGCCGATGCGCTGGCGAGGTGTCGCCGACGTGCAGGAATCGACAGCGCTGGAAGGAGTCGGCCCCTGGTCCCAGCACGAACTTCCCGAGGAGCGTCGCGCCCATCTAACATGGGGGGACCTCGGCGACGCTGGCCGGCTTGTCGGGCTGAGGCGGCGCGCTGCCTTCCCTCGGGCCCGAGCGCCCAGGGCACCAGGTGGGCCGGCATGAACTGCTTGGCAGGTGCGTGGACAGCCCCACACGCCACGGTCCAGGTGGGCGGCGTCCAGGACCTTCCCTCAGAGTGTGAATGACCAAGTCATACCACGCGCCTCCTCGTCGAGCGGCCTGACCAGTACAGGCCGTAGTTTGGCATCGCTTGGTGTCTCTTGGAAGCGAGGGTGGCCAAAAGCGAGGTAGGTCTGTTTGCCCCCTATTCCCGTCTTCCCACGGTCACGGTAGGAACTGCTGTAGACATGGTTATGGGAGCCCCCGGGGCCGTGCTGCGGCCCTCCAGGTCTCCAGTGCTCGCTGCAGAAGCTGACCCAGTGCAGGTTGCTGGCCAGGCCGTAGCTGCACCTCGCGTGTCCGACCGCGTCGACCAGGCGGTCCTGCCCCCAGAGCCAGCAGGTCTCTGCTCGGGCTCTCCGGCGACGGGGGCGGTGGGCACGCGGCTGGGAACGCGGGCGGCCGCGCCCCGGGGCCGTCAGCTGCTGCGCGGGGCGAGGGCACCCAGGGGCCCGTGGTGCCCCTGCGGCTGCCCTGCCGGCTGCTCCGCCGCGGCCGCCTGCGCTGCCGCGGCCGGGGCGGCGGCGGGCGCCAGTCGGGCAGGCTGCTCCGCGGGCCTGCCCTGCCGCAGCCGAGCGGGACGGTCGGCGCTGCGCCTGCGCCTGGGCCCAGAGGCGACGATCGGGGCGAATGATCCTCTGCACGAACGAAATGGGTACGGAAAGAATGGGCACCATGCCCAACAGCGGCCGCTGCTGGTTTGGGACCACCTTTGTTGTTGGGCATTGTGCCCATTCTTTCCGCGCCCATGTCGGGCGTCCAAAGATTAGCCCAGGGGAGAGCCATGCACGTACCCATCGGTCGTTGAAAGTAGGTATTTTTGGATTCCCAGATTCCAATCTACTTTGAGCGCCTTCCTACTTCAAGAGTCGAGCGGGTTTCCCCCTCCCCTCCTCCTCGGGAGGCGGGGCGGAAACCCAATCTAATTCCCAACGCCTTCCTACTTCATGTTTCTACCTACTTCTTCCGACCGATGGGTATCCAGGGGCGCCGATGATCTATGTCTTCGACCAGGCGCCCGGGCGCGGATGCGTACGATGCCCGCCCCTGGGCTATATGCGCCCTCGTCGTCGCCGCCGAGGGGGCGAACGTCGGGCGCCGCCCCGTCGCGGCAGGGACGCTTGGTGCCTCGCCCCTGCACGCTGCCTCGAGCGCAGCCTTGTCAGGAGGGGAAAAAACACACAGACACAATTAATCGGCGATTCCCAGAAAATATGGGAAAATATAGGAAGTGGGGGGGAAGACAAAAACCCAGAAAATATGGGAAAATATGGGGGATATTTTTATTTGTGTGTATTTATTTGTGTGTCCCAATTCCCCTTCACCTTGGCCCTCTGCCGGTCGGTGATGGGGGGCCGATCGTTGCCTCCCTCGTGCCAGGTCAAGCGGACTCTCGGGCCGGGCGAAAGGGGGGATTGGGAAAGGGGGGGTTACGAAATTTGCTGCATGCAGCTGGTTTCGGCCTCACCGAGGGGCCCATTCCTCGATACATGGCCGCCTCTGGCGCCGGGAGGCGCCGGGGAAATCAGCTACGGGAGCTGATTCTCACCCCCCCCCTTTGCTATCCCCCCCTTTCGCCCGACCCGAGACTCACGGTGCCACCGTGGTCATTGGCTTCTGCAAAGGCTCCGAGTGGGTCGTCGCCGGTCTGGCCATGCGCTTGACTCTGGGCCTCCTGGATGGGGTCGGAGTAGATGGGGTCGGAGGATCGCGCCGCATCGCTGATGCATCGGCAGTGTGGCTCGGGGTGGAGCCCGATAACCTCCACGCTGGCGTCGCCGATGCATCGCCGATGTCGCCGATGCATTGCCGATGCGTCGGCGATGTAACACCGATGTATCGGCGATGCGTCGCGGTACCCCGACCCCATCTATTCCGACCCCATTCAAGTCGGATGCCTCTATTGCGGTCCTGGATGCTTCCGGCCGCTGGGGCTGCTTTGGCGTTCCTGGGGTTGGCGCCGAGACCGTCCCCAGTCGTTGCCTTTCCGCGCCTGCGGCCTTCTCCTTGTCGAGAGGGGGAGAACACAAACAGATACCATGAATCGTCGATCCCCGGGAGAGTGTGGGAACAGACCCAGACCTCCAACGTCTCGAGAGACTCCAGACGAAGGTTTTTCGCAGTGTTCGGCCTCTGGGTGGCCTATCGCCGGGCCCCGGGGCCGTCAGAAGACGACTCGGGGTGAAGAGCTGTCCCCAGGGGGAGAGTCCAGGCCTCCGGGGAAAAGCCGTCCTGAGAAGCGCACGGCGTCGGAGGTCTGGGGAGGGGAAGTGGAGGGGAAGACGGAGATCAAACAGACATGGGAGCTATGGGGGCTCCTGGGATCTGTGATGTGTGCCACTTCCTCCGTGTGTCCCTGGGCGCCTTCGATATTGGCGCGCGCCCGAGGGATAGGGGGGGGGGGGCGGCGGAGGCGGGGAGGGGGGAGGGGACAGCACCGATGGGCAGAACTGGACTGTTGGAGCCCTCGCCGGTCAGGTTCCGCGCGGCGGTCGCCTTGACGCTCGGACCCTTTCGAGGAGGCACGGGCTTTCACTTTCGGACTTTTGCGGGTGGCGAAGGCCTCCGCGGCACTGCGCTTGCGTGGAAAAAGGAGCAGGCCCCCCTTGCGTGGACAAAGAGGAGCAGGTCCCCCTACCGCACTCTACCAATAGCCCCCTGTCATGGGCCCGAACTGGGGTGCTTCTGCACTGCGAGCTCCTGGCTCTCCTCCGAAACACTCATCTTCCTCCTCACCCCTCGTCCTCCCCCTTTCCTCCCTCCTCCCTCCTCTCATCCTTCATCCCTCCTTCCCGGCTCTTTCCCGCGTCTATCCTCCCTCGTCCCTCCACCCTTTTCTCCAGATCGCCGCAGATCGCCAGAATCGTGTTCCTGCCCGCCAGGAGTGCGAAGTTCTCTGATGGGTCCTCGGGGCGCCGTAGCAAGCAATTTGTAGCGTTACACGCTGGTGCTAACACACCTCGGATGTGGGAGTCCACTACAGCATGGATTGACCCCGCAACTGATTGTGAGTCGAATCGAAGAACAAACTTAGAGCGCTCCGTCGGTCTACGGAGTGTTCTACCTAGATCCGACGGAGGAGTCAATTGTGGGGTTCACCAATTCTGTAGTCGATCCCTTGCTCGAACACCAGGAGTGGCCTGCCCAGGCCTCCCACGAGTGGACGAGTCGACTTGCTGCCCCCGAAGCTCGATTCGATTCGAATCCACCCGCTGATTCGCCCTCCGCCTTCTTCCCCTTGCTCGAATCGAAGCCCTCTTCTCCTTCCCTCCGCCTTCCCTCCTGCCTGCTCATTCCTCTCTCTCGCCTCTTCCCCCGTCCCTCTACCTTTTTCGAAAGGATTCCACAGTATGAGTACTACTATCCTCCCTCCCCTGACAACGTGCGGGAGGTATTCCGCCGCCCTCTTTGCGTATTGTTTCCACTCGATTTCAAACGATGCAGTGTCCTACGTTTTTTTACACTCAGATTGTCCTCAGAGTTTCAAGATGATACTGCAGATGCAGCGTGGGCCTCATTGTCAGATCTGCGCTTTGCTCCCGTCTTTCCGAATGGCGTTATTGCCTCAGCGCGGGGAATGTTTCTGGATCGGAGTCCTTCTTCATCGTTGCCGCCCCCTCGTTTCCCATCCGATGCCTTCCCCTGATTCTCCTGCTCCTGCCGCTCCTTCCACTTCAACTGCTGCTGCTGCTGCCGCTGTTCGTCCTCATCGTCCTCCTCTTCGTCCTCGTCGTCCTCGTCGTCCTCCTCATCCTCATCCTCCATCTCCTCCTCCTCCTCCTCCTCCTCCTCTTCCTCCCCCTCTGAGTAGCAACGTCGCCATTTTGTAACAAGGCCAATCGGGGTAGGCTCCCGTCCAAGCATTCTCTCTGCAGCGCTACGTGCCCGGCGCTCCCATCTCTTCCCCCATTGCTGCTGTAGTCTGCTCCAACTGAGGGGAATAATGCACGTCTAGGATGTCTCGCCCATTCGCCGGCCCCTTTGAGGAGCCGGAAGACTTGCGAGGGCGATATCGGCAACGTGTGGTTTTGGTGGGGTGGTATGGGCAGTCGGAGTTTCAGTCTCAGTAGGGTGTTTAGCGAGATGGCAAGGCGAACGAGCAGGCGATCTCGTTCGCGCTACGCTGATGGACCATTTTCCACACAGCGCACCAAACTTGAGCCAACGTTCACGGACCACGCCGCGTCTGGAACGGGAAGGGCGTTGCCGCCCTTCCCGTGCCAAAAAGACGCGGCGAGCACATCGCGTGCAACCATGCAGAAAACATAAACGCCATGGCGATGATGATGGAGATGACGATGGCGATGATGCTGACGACGACGGCGATGATGATTGTACTAATTGCGGTAATTGCGATCGTTATGGTGACGCTGGTTGCTATGATGGCGATGGTCATGCTTTTGATGGTGATGTGGACGGCGATGGCGGTGATGATGATGCTGATGATGATGATGATGCTGGTCAGGTCGATGGCATTTCCTTGGCGATCGTGGTATAGATGACCGCAACCACAGTGGTGATGGCGGTGATGACGATGGTGATGCTGCTGATGATGCAGGTGGTGCTGGAGGTGGTGGTGGTGGCGATGTCCAGAAGCGATGACGATCATAGTACTGGTGATGAGGGTGACAACGATGATGCGGATAATGGTGATGATGGCGGTGGTGGCGATGTTGATGACGGTTCTGATGATGATGATGATGATGATGATGATGATGATCATGATGATGGCGATGGTGATGGTAATTCTGGTGACGATGACGATACCGATGATCACGATGTGGTGATGACGGTGATTCCGATGATGCTCACGGTGACGACGACGATGACGATCATGCGGAGGACAGTGTTGATGATGGTGATGCTGACGGTGATGGCGATTATGATGGTGTTTGTGATGGTGATGATGACGATGGCGATGATGCTGGTGATGATGACGGTGATTGCGTGTCAGAGATGGTGATGGTGACGGTGACGAGGACGACGGCGACGACGACGATAATGATGATGTTGGCGGTCATGGCGATGCTGATGATGATCAGGGCGGGCAAGTTGGATGTGGATGGTTGGTGTGGGGATGGCGGACGGGTCTGTGAGTGTTTGGTCGTGATGGCCGTTATGGTGATGATGGTGGTGGTGGTGGCGATGGTGGTGATGGTGGCGGTGATGATGGTGACGGGATGACGGTGACCATGATGATGACGATGGCGATGGCGATGGTGATGATACCATGTGTGGCGATGATGATGCTTATGATGATGATGCTGATGATGATGATGATGATGACGATTGCTATGGTGATGATGATGATGATGATGATGATGATGATGATGATGGTGATGATGATGATGATGATGATGACGGTCACTGCATGATGACGATGAAGATGATGGTGACGGTGGCGAGGAGGACGGCGACGACGACGATGATAACGATGATAATGACGATGATGATGATGCTGATGATGATGATGATGATGATGCTGATGATGATGACGGTGATGTTGATGACGACGATGATCTTGGCGAGCATGTTGGGGATGGATGGTTAGAGTGGGGGTGATGAAGGGTGTTTGTAGTGATGATGGCAATGACGATGACGATGATGATGCTGATGCTGATGCTGATAATGATGATGGTGCTGGCGGCTGTGGTGGTGGTGGTGTGAGTGGGGTGATGGGGAGTCTGACGATGGATGATGATGATGATGATGATGATGATGATGATGATGATGATGATGATGATGATGATGATGATGATGATGATGATGATGATGATGATGATGATGGTGATGATGATGGTGGATGGTGATGATGATGATGCTGATGATACTGATGATGGTGATGGTGATGGTGATGATAATGATGATGTTTGTGATATCGATGGTGATCCTTATATTCCGATAGCTCACAAAGTAGAGGCCCACGCTGGCGAACATATGTTTGAACACGTTTGGCCTCTTGGGGTCTGTCTTGGACCATCTTCGGCCTTGGTGGGGCTATCTTTTTGCCGTGTTCGGTTCGTCTTGGGCCTGCAGTTCATGGATATCCTCAGTTTTCTTTTCCTTGGGCCATCTCGGGCCTCCTGGAGCCTTCTTCGGGCTGAGCGCTCCTGGGGGTCCTGGCGCCATCTTGGAAACCTCCTGGGCTCCACTTGAAGCCATCTTGAGGCCCGATGGCCCCCTCGGCAGCACGAGATAAATCCAGCAGCCTTGCGCCTGTTGGGGCTGTGTTGGGGCCATCTCGGGGCCTGCCACAATGATGCCTCCTGTTCGGTCGCTGCTGGACCTCCTCGTAGGACCCTCCCTGGAGCCTTCTTGGGGGCGCTCCTCGGACGATCTCAGGGGTACTCGGAGCCTCTCGGGCCGTCTTCGGTGGTCGGAAACCGGAACAGGCGAGAACCGAAGGACAATCAATGGTTTCGGCTCCCTCGGGCTCTCCAGGAAGGCCTCTTGGAGCTTTCTCGGCCAGTTTGGGCGGCCTCTTGGGCCTCTCGAAGCCTTTTTGGGCTATCTTGAGTCGTCCTGAAGCTTTTTTGAGAGGCTCTTGCGCTGTCGTCATCCATCGTGACCCAATTTATTGTCGTCTCGGCTGTCTTGGAAGTCGTCTTGGAGGCCATCTTGGCCGTCTGGAGGCCGAAAAGAGCGCCGTGGAGCAACTTCAGGGGGGCGATTTTTTCAGCCCGGTCGTGAACTGGAGGGCGGGGGTCGACCTTAGAAAATATGTTACGTAAAACATGTCTAGAGGGACCAGAGGAGCATTCTAACACGCCCACTCCGCGCAGGCACGGTGGCGGATGACCTAACTTGGAAATTTGCTGGCGGATTTCTGACAAATGGCCGTTTCGCTCGGACATCCTCAAAACATCGGCCCCGGAGGGGACTCCGAATCGACATCGTTGTAGAATCGCTCCCAGAGGGCTTTCGAACGGCCCAAAGGAAGCCCAAAAGATTCCCCGGAGGGCCCCAAGAGCGCCCAAGAGCGCCCCAAGAGGACCCCAAGAGACCCCCAAGAGCGCTCCAGGAGGCACCCCCCAGACAGCTCACAAGAACCCGAAGACGGGCCAAGATGGCCCCAAGAGACTCCCGGGAACGCCGGAGGCGGCCCCCAGGCGGCACAAGAGAGCCCAAAGACGGCCCAAGATGGCGCCAGGACGGCGCAGGGAAGCTTCCGAAGAACCCAAGGAGGCGCCAAAACAGCCCAAGAAGACCCCAGAAGCCAACAGTGTTGGCTTCTGGGGTCCACGTGTTGGCCCAACACGAGGGCCCAAGAGGCCCCGAGAAGCCCCCAAACAGGCCCCCCAAACAACCCCCGCGCGGCGCCAGGAGCCTCCCGATAGGAGCAGCCTTTTCCAAGTGCCTCTTACTGTCCTCCGTCGTCGTCGTCGTCGTCGTCGTCGTCGTCGTCGTCGTCGTCGTCGTCGTCGTCGTCCTCCGCATTCCTCCTCGTGCTCGCCCTCGCTCTCTTCGTCCTCGTCCTTGTGCTTCCCTTTCTCCTCACTGTCCTCATGCTCCTCCTCGCTATCCTCACGTTCTCCACGCCGCCTTCGTCATCGCCTCCTCGTCGCCCTTGCCTTCCTTTTCCTTTCCTTTTTCCCATACGCCCATTGGACTGAAGCGGCGCTTCCCGTCCTTGTCCGACCAGGTTACCGCGCAGGGATGCAGAGGTTCCTCTTTGCCGTAGCCGCCGTTGCTGCTCACTGGAACCCAGCCCCTGCGCGCCGTTACCCTGCCCTGCCTCCCCTCAGTCGTTCTCCCCCCGCTCCTTGGGACCTGCGCGCGTCGCCCCGCCTCCGCGCTCCGTCTCCGGCCGGCCAGCTCGTGCCTTTTTGGTTTCTGTCTTTTCCCCGTCCAGTGATCGTGGAGCTCACTGATCCCTGGATCCTCCCCGCCCCCCCGCCTCCTCCTCCATCCTCCCTCCTCCTCCTCCCTCCTCCTCCTCCTCCTCCTCCTCCTCCTCCTCCTCCTCCTCCTGCTTCTGCTCCTCCTCCTCCTCCGCCTCCTCCTCCTCCTCCTCTTCCTCCCCCTCCTCCTGCTCCTGCTCCTGCTCCTCCTCCGCCTCCTCCTCCTCCTCTTCCTCCTCCTCCTCCCCCCTTCCTTCCCTCCTCTCTGTTTCAGGCCCTTCACCTCTCCTCGTGCCCCTCTTATTCGGACGCAGGAGCACCATGTAAGCTCCTCTCCTCGCTCCCACCGCCGATTCGCGCGTGGGCTCCCATCCTTCCCTCCGGCGATTCGTGCTCCCACCGACGATTCGTGCTCCTCCCCTCGCTCCCCACCGTGCTCCACTCTCGCGTGACATGGTTTTCACGCCCATGTGCAGTCCACTGTCGGGTCGGGCGAAAGGGGGGGATTGGGAAAGGGGGGGTTACGAAATTTGCTGCATGCAGCTGGTTTCGGCCTCACCGAGGGGCTCATTCCTCGATACATAGCCGCCTCCGGCGCCGGGAGGCGCCGGGAAAATCAGCTACGCGAGCTGATTCTCAAAACCCCCCTTTGCTATCCCCCCCTTTCGCCCGACCCGATCCTCGCTCCCCACCGTGCAGCGGTGGCCACCCCTCAGGATCGGTGCCTTGCCCTTGTCGTTCAGCATGGCGCCGTCGCCCCAGCGCGGGTTCGGTCTTTGGATCCGGTTCGTTCCTCTTGGCTGCCACGCCAGTATTTTCCCATCCTTTATTCCCGACCAGCAGGCATGGCAACATATAAAACGTGGTGCTCGGCGTCAGGACGCACAGGTACCCACCCGCTGCGAATCGCTGGACGCGGTGTGTGCCTGTCACCTGCTCACCGTTACCTGCTTACGGTTTTTCTCCTCCCACCGTCTTCCTCTGCCGTCTCAGTGTGCCATTTTTCCTCTCGGCAAGAGCCCAGCGACCCCCGTTCCTGCTGGAACCATGGCGTTGTCTGCGAGCTACTCGAAGTGGGACAAGCTCGTGGTCGAAGAGGACCATTCGGTGGCGCACTCATGGGGGGTGAGGTGAGGGCTGCGGACTGTTGACAAGGCAGGGCTCTCCTGCTTCGTCTTCTGAGGGGTCTTCCAACAGACCTCCGATTCCCATGAGGGCGGGGTTTCTTCAAAGGAGTCCTCTTTGAAGCGAGAGCTGCCGCCTTATAGGAGCGGGTTTTGGGGAGCGGCCCTCTATGAGGCCCCCTCTTTTATTCTTAGAGGGCCGCGTCCCCGCCGCACCCAACTCTGCGCGCCGCCGTGCCATGACCAGTGGGAGGACCCCATGAGTATGCCGGTGTGCTCGGAGATACCGTGGCAGCAGGTGACGCCCTTGATGAACAAGATGCTCCACGAGGAGTACGCCGCCGAGGATGCGGCGCTCGGGCCCGCCCCTACGAGGAGGGCCAGGACCGACCCCATGGCGCAGCCGCCTCGGCTGGTGTCGCCGCCCCCGTCGACGCCCGCACCCCCAGACATCTTCCGCTGTGGCTTTTCAATCTGCGGTTCCGACCCCCTCCCCTGGGGGTAGTTTTACGCCCCTGGCTTGTCGGCCATACGTAGCAGTGACCTTTTGCCAGAGCGACTTTCAGTGCGGACGCAGTGGGATCACCAGATGGCTAAACGTGACATGAGAGTACAGTCGGCCTGGATTAGTAGGTCGACCCTGCCAAGTCAAGTGTCCTGTGTCTCGCGACCCATGCTTTTTACATTCCTGCGGCAATGTGGCCCTCGGAAGGGTCTCGTGTCCTCTCGCGCGTCCTGTCCGATCGAGTCCGACTGTAGCACCTTGCGCGCTCTGGTCTGGCCTCCCCGCGGCTCCCGAAGGTCGCGCACTAGAGGTCGCTCTTGCCTGGGGTAACTCTCATGTGTAGCCGAGTTTATTGGGACGGCCGTGCAGCCGGCGCCGCCGACCCTGAAGGGTGGCGATGACGACGACGACGACGACGACGTGACGCTGACGCTCTGGAGCCCTTCTTGGGGCTCTCTAGGGAACCTGTTGGGCTCTGTTTGGGGACCTCTTGCGGGACTTCTCGGGAAGCTCCGTGGCCTTTTGGAGCCCGCTCGGAGCAGATCTCACTCTCACCTTGATGGGCCTCTTTTCCACCACCACCACAAGTTGGAGGGGAGAAGGAGGTGGAGGATGATGATGATGATGATGATGATGATGATGATGATGATGATGATGATGATGATGATGATGATGATGATGATGATGATGATGATGATGATGATGATGATGATGATGATGATGATGATGATGATGATGATGATGATGATGATGATGATGATGATGATGATGATGATGATGATGATGATGATGATGATGATGATGATGATGATGATGATGATGATGATGATGGATGATGAGGAGGAGGAGGAGGAGGAGGAGGAGGAGGAGGACGAAGAGGAGGAATATGAGGAGAGGAGGAGGAAGAGGAGGAGGAGGAAGAGGAGGAGAAGAGGAATAGGAGGAGGAGGAGGAGGAGGAGGAGGAGGAGGAGGAGGAGGAGGAGGAGTGGTGGTGGTGGGTAACAAGCCCATCACACCCGGGGCCACTCTCACCTGCAGCCACGCTTACTTTTGATCGCCCAGAGGCCGAAGTCGTGAACCATCGCCCTCGGTCCTCGGGGCCTCCCCGCGGCCCGCGAGAGTCGCGCACCAAATGTCTCTTGCCTGGGGCCGCTCAAGGAGGAGGAGGAGGAGCAGGAGGAGGAGGAGGAGGAGCAGGAGGAGGAGGGAGGAGGAGGAGGAGGAGGGGAGGAGGAGGAGGAGCAGGAGGAGGAGGAGGAGGAGGAGGAGGAGGAGGGAGGAGGAGGAGGAGGGGAGAGGAGGGGAGGAGGAGGAGGAGGGGGGGAGGGGAGGAGGAGGAGGAGGAGGAGCAGGAGGAGGAGGAGGCCCAGATAGCCCCGAAAGAGCCTCAGGACGGAGGGGAAGTAGGATCCTCCATTTTCGGCCTCTGGGGGCCCCGCCTTACCAGGCCCGGGGTCGGGGATCCGGGCCCAAGACCAGCAGCGTCCTGATAACGCTCCTCCTCCTGCTCCTCCTACTCCTCCTCGTCGTCGTCCTCCTCCTTCTCCTCCTCCTCCTCCTCCTACGGGCCCCAGGAGCGACGAAGAACAACAGTTAAGCTGCGCCGACATTTGCGCGCAGGCTGCCCGCGTAAGGTCGTGCGTGAGCGCCCTCGTTTCCAGCGCAGTGTGCCGCGCGTTGGCGGCCCGCGCGAGCTGCGACTGTACTCCGGGCCCCTGACGTCGTGGTTTTTTCACAGCGTCGACTCCCAGAGGTCTCGACCCATTCCCCAGGGCCGGTTTCTCGTCCCGTTTTTTTTTGAGGGCCCTGAGGCCCAGCGAGGGCCCCCTGGAGGCCGAGAGTGGCGAGAAGCGTCCGCCTCGGTTTTTGTCGCAGCGCGAGGGGGTCTGGGAAGGTCGCTACGGCATCTCACGTGAGACTCACTCCTGTTCGTCGCCCACTTCAGGCCCGAGGTGATCCTCCAGCTTCGGCCTCCATGGGGTCCTTCCTACGGGGCCCCGGGACCACCTCGACGCGACGCCTCGGGGCGAAGAGCAGGCCTGTCGGGGACGAGGCCGGGGCTATCTTTGGAGGGCCCGCGCTGACCGGCTTCTCGGCCAGAGTCGTTTTTGGATGGCCATGAGGCCCAGTGATTCAGGGCCCCCAGGGGAACCCCTCCCGCTCTGGTTTTGCAGGATTCGGGGGGGTCGGTGTCCTCTTGGAACCCTCCCAGGTTTCTCTTGGGCTCTCCAGAGGTTCAGGGGTTCACTCGGGTAACTCTTGGCCATTGAAAGCGGGAGCGGCCAAGAGAGGGGCGATGACTGGGAAGGGGTGGGTATCATGGCGTGGGCCATGATTTTTCCTCAGATGTCATGGCGCCTCTTCTTGTTCCCCTACGTCCCTGGCCCCCCCCGTGGGCCGCGCACGTGCCGCCGGCCATGCTTTGCGCCCCCCCCCCCCTCTTGGACGCCCCCCCTCATGGCCGCCCCCGATGAGAAGCTCAGGACGTCGCATGTCTGGGGGTTTTCTTCGCCCGCGCGGCCTGCGGCCGGGCCGCCGGGCGCCGCCGCGACCCCAGCGGCGCAGCGCCTGGCGCCGCAGGCGGCCGCGGCGCCGCCGCCCGGCCGAGCCCCGGAGCAGCTGGCGCCGCCGGCCCCGCTGGCGAACGCGGCGGCCAGGGGAGGAATCGATTACACGTAAGAGTGACCTTTCGCCGGAGTGACCTTTGGTGCGGGCCCAACGGGGTCCCCCGATCGCTGCACGCGCAGCGGTAGCAGCGGCTTGCCCCCCCCTCGTTTGGTCATTCTGTGTGCCCCCGGAAGTCGCGCACCAAAGGTCACTCTTGCCTAGGGTCACTCTTACGTGCAGCCAAAGGAAGACCCTCTCCAAGCAGTGGCGAAGCGTCCCGGCGCGCCGATGGCCCTACCAAGCCATGTTCTAAGAGCCTTGTGTGGTTTCCACGAACTGGTCTTAGAACGTTTCTGGCGGAGTCTGTCTTGCTTTAGCACATCGGGTTCATGTTCTAAGTTTTTTTCGATTTTTTGATGTTCTAATAATATTTCGTGGTAGGACTATAGGAATGCCGGGACGGTCGGTCCCTGCTCAACCTCTTCTCTCACCGAGCACGTTCCACTACTCGCACAGTGCCTACTCGCAAACGCTCGTCTATATTCGGGGAACGAACAATGACAAAAACATAAAAACTCGGAGGTCCGCGCGGATTTCTCGGTTCGGCGCTGGAGCCCCCTGGCGGCGCCTCCGGCGTCGCCCCTGGCGCGCTCCGCGCGCCAAGGAGGGGGGTTCAGCGCCGATCCGAGAATTCCGCGCGGACCTCCGAGTTTTTACGTTGATGTCATTGTCCGTTCCCCTATCTACAGCCAAGGTGCCCAAACTCAGAGGAGGAAAAGGTACCGATGCCGCTGCGCACTACTCAGCAAGCAACCCCCACCCAACCCGAGGGTCCCAGACTCTCCCAAGTTTCGGGTTTGGGGGTATACGGTTTCCATCGTGTGTTTCCTCACTGTTCTGGAGTGCTCCCCCAGCAGAAGTTGAAGATTTCAATTGTGGCTTCGGGGTGGGTTGGGGTAGTTTGGTAGGTAATCCTTACCCTGGCCTCGTTTTCCCTTGGATGGGCCTCCTGGGAGGCCCTCGTCGCCACCGCTGGATTCGCGTCGAAATTCTTGTCAGAACGCACCTCTGGACAGGTCTGGGGAGTAACAGTATGGGTACCTTTTGGTCTCCCCCGACATGAGGACCGCTTTGGGTTCGGAAAGGAGCTCGCGGTTCCTCGAGCTCTTCCGCGGCTGTTCCTCCTGCACTCCTCGTGCACCCGTGGGCGCTTCTGGGGCCAAAGAGGGGCCTCGCTCCTGATCTAGCGTTCCTCACAGTGGGGGCCCCGGGGTTTCTTGGGTCGCGATGGGTCTGCTGTGGAGAGCGCGGCGCTCCCGCACCAAAAATCAATGGACGTCCTGGGGTCTCAGGTTTGGGTTTCTTGCGGAAGGTCTCTTGCCTCAGCTTTTCCTTATGTTTTCGATAGGAAATCGAAGTTTAACTTGTGGAAAAAAGGGGCATCGTTCCTCATTTAGGGTTCCTTAGGTCATCGCGTCGACTGTACCACGCAAAAGCCCACGCCGGACTTCCTGGTATACGCTCCGTCCCCTGGGGCCGCAGGTGGGGTGGTGACGTCCTGGGGTCTCAGGTTTGGGTTTCTTGCGGAAGGTCTCTTGTGGCCGGGCCCCTATTTTTTGCCAGGGGGGGAACAACGCACACACAGATACAGTTCACCGTCGATTCCCCGGAAAATGCGGGAAAGTGTGGACAGTGGGAGGGAAGCCCAGGAAGTGTGGGAAGATGTGGACAGAGGACTGGCCTCCACTGTATTCAGCAGCAGCCGGCTGTACAGTCGTGGCGCTGAAGTATCGGGGAAACGTAACTTTAAACGGAGAAGGTTAAAGGCGAGATGTATATCGAGCATGCACCGCTGCCGTGCCTGGCTCAAGCCGGGCCCGGCCTAATATGTGATTGTGCCTCATTGAGGCGCACGACTTGTATCTGAGATCGGAAAATACCTTTTCCATTGACGATGCCCCTTCTATCCTTTACTCCAGATCCCATGCTTCGTCTTGCTCTCTTGCTCATGCGATATGAGCCAAAGCCTGGGATATGGGAGCGCCTAAGGCGGAACATATATCATGGCTTACCAGTGCGTTTTCGACTTGGTAGCGGAGCTGGCTACACTCTCGTGTGGCTGGCTCTCGCTCTGATTCCTGTAATCCACGGCACAACTTGGTGGACTACTACTACGGTGGAATACCATGTTGCGCCGGCTCTGCGAGGAGCGGAGCCAGTCCGCGATCGAGCTAGCGGGGCGACCCGCGAGCTCGAGACGCTCTCTCCTACTTCACTGCGCTACTTCACTCCCGACTTCCACCAGATGCCAATCGGCAACTCGATCGAGAACGTGGTCACCCTGCGGGGCTACCCGCAGCGGGGCCACCTGCATCCCGTGCCGGTCAGGCGCCTTACGGCTACTACGCCAGAGCCTGACAAACCACAGCCTAAACCAATCACCGAAGCCGAGATGCACATGCACTGGATTAAGATAACTATCTTCGGCATTCTATGGGTGATAATGGGATGTGCTGTGGGATACATGCGGCAGGGGATGGACGACACGCGTACTACCGGCCCTTCGTGGGACCCAGCCGGTACTACGCCTTTTCGCGGATACGTTCGCGAAGTACATGCATGGATAAACGTAACGAGCGGCAATATGACGCCACCTCAGCAAGCTGCAGCACTACAACGTGGCCTTCAAGGCCTTGCTCGTCGTATCGCCATGCAGGTCCCCTCCCAGATCATCAACTATGGTGTAACTGTCAACGGACAGCCAACGGATGCAGTTACTTATATACTGTACCTATTGAGCACCAAATTTGAAAATCTGGAAGATGAGCGCCAGCTCAACTCTGGCACTGCCCTTATCGACTTTCGCGTCGAAAGGGGCGAGCGAATCGACTCAGTGTTAGCTCGATTCGAGATGGCCCGTGACGAGGCTAACTCTGTTGGCTTTGTCATCCCCAACTTTCAGATCCTAACGCTGATCCTTTTCAGAGCGTTAGGCGTTGGCGCGTCACGAGCCCAACACCTGCTGGAGCCCTTTAATCATCAGATGCCCAGAACACAAGCAGACTATGACAGGCTGCTGACCAGGATGAGGAACTACGGACATGTTGCCGAGCGCTCTCCTGGCAACATTGCGGGTATCTTCACAGGGCACCACTCACATGCAGGTGTCTACGCCACGACTGCGGGGTCACCCGCTGGTCCTGGCGAGCCAAGTCCCTGGGCTGACCCAGCCGATATGCCCAACGAGGCCACTGCCTTCTTAGGGCAGACCGGCCAGGCATCGGCAGAGGCAGCTGAGGCGAACGCCTGGTCGAACTACACGCCAGGCGCCGCCTACACTGCAAGCCCGCCCTCGGGCACAACCCTCTGGGGCCAAGCGGAGTCATCCGCTCAAGGGTCCCAGCCACCCTCACCGTTTGAATCTGGCACTGACACAGATACCTCATCTGACGATGAGCACAATGGCATAGTCTCTGCTGGTAATGACTATCCAGCTGATGACACTCACCTTTCTGAACAACAAAGAGCGGAAGCCGCTTTTATGGCTTATCGCAAATCAAAACGCCGTTGGAGGCGCTTTATGAAGAAACCAGTCAGAAAAGTGAGACGTGCAGTACGCCGACATTTCAAACGATATGGAAAGGGTCGTGGCAAAGGGGGTCGCAGACGTCGTATGCATGGTAGGGGTATTACTGCTTTCCTCACGTCCTTAACTGATATAGTTTTTGAAGAAGTTCTTATCGGAGGCAAAGGTCGGGGTCACAGGCGGACCTCTGGTAAGGGAAAAGGGCGGAGGGGCAACCCTAGGGACGCTTCTGGCAATACTATGAAGTGTCATACATGCGGTAGTACAGAGCATTTGCGCGATCAATGCCCGAAAGGGAAAGGAAAGGGATCCGTACATTTGGCTCAAACTCTTTTATGGATGACATAGACTACATTGACTACGAGTTTTACGTCAATCCAGAAGCGGCTCCCGCCGCGGGCTCCTCCACGTACTACGTGATGGCCCGCTACGCTGATGTGACCGTAGCCCTGGAAGAGTACGCGGTGACCCTCTTCGACGAGTTCCACGGCTGGGACGAAGTCGACGAGGTCGCGTTCAATGCCTGGTTCGGTCTTCCAGCGGGGCCACCCGCCGACGACGAGATCTCCGAAGCTGAGACCGTCCCGGCGACCGAGGAGGAGCTCGCCGCCGCGCTGGCACCGCAGGTGATTGGCATGCCGTTGCTGCCAGATCTTCCGCGAGCTGGCTCGGAAGCGGGAGACGCTGATGACGAAATGCGGGGCCATCCCGCTTATTCTGACTCTGAAGAGGCCGAAGAGGACCATAAGGACATGCTCCAAGAGCAGGTCGCAGAAGCGATCCAGCTCCTGAGTGCGCCAGCACATCAGCAGATAACCATGAACGACCTGCTGTCGCGCCCAGGGGCCGCAAGGCTGCGTCCATACCTGGATTCGGACATGTCGGCACCTCAGATGCTGACAGCACTCCAGGTTCTAGCGGGGTCACCCGCCGAAGTGGCGCCAGCCGCAGCAGCGGGGCCACCCGCTTGGTCTATGGACGTATTCATGCAGGGCTGCGACCAGATGGACCTCAACGACCTCACGATGGAGCAGCTAAACGACATCGGGTACTTTCGAAGCCCGCATCAGCACTATTCATGGTCCAGGACAGCTCAGAGGACTCGGAGGACAGGCGCCATGCCAAGAAGAACAGACGACCATCGCCTCCCCGAGACTCAGAGCATGAAGATGAAAGGCCCATGGAACGTGGCAGTGCGTCAGCGGGGCCAGCCCGCAGGAGGAGCCGTTCAGCTCCACGACGCCCTACACATGATGCATCTGGCTACCCGTGCAGTACGGAGCACTCCGTAGGCGTATCCGCTCAGTACGTGCCGGAGTGGTACATCAATTGGTACCCCGGCTACTCGATGGACGTGATCCGCCACTGGTATTCTAAGGAGTACTGCACCAAAAGGGACGAATCTGGCATGATAATACGCACCAAGGGTGGCAAGACTACAACGCCAGAGGCTTGG